GGGACACCAGCTGGACACCGCGGGGCCCCGCGCCCCCGAGGTGAGTCATTTGGTCCGCCCGCGCCTCAGCGACAGGAGACGTTTTCTCGCCCGCCCACGCAGCTTCGCCTCGCCCGCACGCACGGCACGCACGAACACGAAACCGAAATCGATTTCCCGGTAGGGGGGCTCTCCGTTCCACTTCGATCTCACCCCCCAACCTCCGACAACCACCGACGTCGTTGAAACATACTTGACGGTAATCGTCGGCCCCAACGTTGTCCCGCAGTTGTGCCACATTGTTGTGCTGTTGGTGCCGTAATCGGTTACAGAACATGTGGTCTTGGTACTTGTGCTACTTAATGTCATCGTGCCATTGGTGCTGGACTTGACTGCCGGATTGCCCCATCCCTGGTCCTGGGATTTAGGGTCACAACCTCATCCGGAGTCAGGAAACAACCAAATGGTTCGGAGGTTGGAGATGGAAATAGACGAGCAGATACAACTACTTTCTTTCAAGAAGGGGTGGTGGTAGGAACCGTTAGGATTATACTCAACTTTATTATCATACGCAACTCTTTGAGGGAGTAGAGCTCAGAAACGATTCATACCCCGTCCATTCGAATTTTTTCGGGTCCGTTTCGCTCAGGACATCCTCAAACTTCTGAAAGTCGGTGGCAAGACCACAGCCGTCACAGTCCAAGAACATAACCGTTTGCAGTCATTGTACCAAACAGCCTTCAAACATAAAATGGCATCAAATTATTTTTCTTCGAGAATTGCAATTTCGCCTGAGACATCCTCCCAAAATCGAGCCTTCTTTGACTACGACTCTTGGAAACACTCCTTCGCATGAGACATCCTCCCAAGACCGAGCCCTGACGCACAACACAGACACACAGACACACAGGCACACAGACACACACACACAGGCACACACAGGCACACACAGACACACACACACACATCACACATAGACACACAGAGACACACAGAGACACACAGAGGCACACAGAGACACACAGAGACACACAGAGACACACGCAGAGACACACACAGAGACACACACAGAGACACACAGAGCCACACAGAGACACACCGAGGCACACAGAGACCCACAGAGACACACAGAGACACACACAGACACACACAGAGGCACACAGAGGCACACAGAGGTACATAGAGACACACAGGGACATACAGAGACACACGGAGACGCACCGAGACACACAGAGGCACACAGAGATATACAGCGACACACACAGACACACAGAGACACACACAGACACACAGAGGCAAGCAGAGACAAACAAAGGCACACAGAGACCCACAACGACACACGAAGGCACACAGAGACAGGCACAGATACACGCAACCACACGCAGAAACACGCAGAGATTCGCGGAAACACGCAGAGAGACACACAGAGACAGACACGCAGAGACAGACTCACAGAGACAGACACACATCGAGACAGACACACATCGAGACAGACACACAGAGACAGACACCCAGAGACAGACACACAGAGACAGACACACAGACGCAGACACACAGGACCAGACACACAGACACAGACACACACAGGCACACACATACACACATAGACACACAGAGACACACATTCACAGACACACACAGACACACACGCAAGCACACACAGAGACACACACAGAGACACACACAGAGACACACACAGAGACACACACAGACACACACACACACAGACACACACAAGCACACACAGGCACACACAGGCGCACACAGGGACACAGGGACACACAGGCACAGAGGCACAGACACAGAGAAACAGAGACACAACGACACAGAGACACAGGGACACAGAGACACACAGACACATATATACAACGCCACAGAGACACATAGACACGGAGACACAGAGCAGAGACACAGAGACACAGAGACACACAGAGACAGACAGAGGCACACAGAGACACACAGGGACACACGCAGAGACACACAGAGACACACAGAGACACACAGGGACACACAGAGACACACATAGACACACAGAGGCACACCGAGACACACAGAGACACACCGAGACACACAGAGACACACAGAGGCACACAGAGACACACAGAGACACACACCGAGACACACACCGAGACACACGGAGACACACGGAGACACACGGAGGCACACGGAGACACACAAAGACACACAGAGACACACATGGGCACACAACTCACACAGAGAGACACAGAGAGACACAGAGAGACCCAGAGAGACACAGATACACAGAGAGACACAGAGAGACACAGAGAGACACAGAGAGACACAGAGAGACACACAGAGACACAGAGAGACACAGAGCGACACAGCGAGACACACAGAGACACAGAGAGGCACAGCGAGACACAGAGAGACACAGCGAGACACAGCGAGACACACACAGAGACACACAGAGACACACAACGAGACACAGAGAGACACACAGAGAGACACTCAGAGAGACACCCAGAGAGACACACAGAGAGACACAGAGAGACACAGAGAGGCACAGCGAGACACAACGAAACACAGAGAGACACAGAGAGACACATAGACACACCGAGAGACACAGAGAGACACGGAGAGACACGGAGAGACACAAACAGGCACAGCGAGACACATATAGACACAGCGAGACACAGGGAGACACAGAGAGACAGAGAGAGACACAGAGAGACACAGAGAGACACAGCGAGACACAGAGAGACACAGAGAGTCACAGAGAGACACACAGAGACACAGAGAGACACAGAGAGACACAGCGAGACACACAGAGACACAGAGAGGCACAGCGAGACACAGAGAGACACAGCGAGACACAGCGAGACACAGCGAGAGACACACAGAGACACACAAAGCGACACAGAGAGACACACAGAGACACACAGAGAGACACAGAGAGACACAGCGAGACACACAGAGACACAGAGAGACACAGAGAGGCACAGCGAGACACAGAGACACAGAAAGGCACACAGAGACACACAGAGCGACAAACAGACACAGAGAGACACAGAGAGACACAGAGAGACACAGGGAGGCACAGAGAGACACAAAGAGTCACAGAGAGACACACACAGAGACATAGAGAGAAACAGAGAGACACAGAGAGACACAGAGAGACACACAGAGACAAACAAAGACATTTAGAGACCCACAGGGACCCACACACCCACACCCACACACCCACACACCCACACACCCACACACACACACCGCACGCACGCGCACGCGCACGCGCCCGCGCCCGCGCACACGCACACGCACACGCACACAACACACAACGCACAACAACACACACACACACGCAACACACACAACACACAACGCACTCACAACATACACACATCATACACACCTCAAACTGCCCCGTGGCACACCTACAAAACTCCTGCATAATATGCGCCCATGCACAGACCTCCCCACGGAAACGTGCTGGTGACGTTCTATACCCATGGTCTTCGTACCGTTGATCGCACACTGTGCCGAACTTTGTGAAGGCATGGGTCTTTTTGAAGGCAGAAGCATTGCGCGATAGGATGCTGGTATGGTCTGGTAGGCTTCCGTCTGGGCCGACCCCCCTCCGACCTCGAAGCGTTGACCCGAAGCGTACCCTTTGCTGCGTTGACCCGAAGCGTTTCGATCAGCCTTTCCGCGGCTTCGCATACAAAAGAGTAACTGCGAGGAGGGGCAGGAGGACGACGAGAAGGGAGGGAGAGATGGGGACATGAGACTTCGGCGGCGGGGGTGACTTTCACAAGGACGTTATCGGAGGCGGCTTCTCCAGGGAACGCATGCTGGGAGGGATGCGATGACGTGGGGCATGACCAACATGAGGATGGCGATGGGGTTGGGGACACTGGGGAAGCTGGTTTTCATAAGGACGTCGGTTTGGTTTCATTCTGGGGCGACCTCCAGGGCAGCCGTGCTGACGTAGGGAAGGCGAGATGAGATGATGAGGGCGCAAAGGAGATGAGGATGGGGGCAAGCGGCGGGATGGAGGAGAAGGAGAGGATGATGACGAGGAGGAGGAGGAGGAGGAGGAGGACGAGGAGGAGGAGGAGGAGGAGGATGGGAGCAAGCCTCGCTGCAGGCCATTTCGGGGATCTTTGGGAGTTTTCTGAGGGCTTCTTGGGTCATGTTGGGGAGATCTTGGAGCTCGTTGCATCTCGCTGGGCTGCCTTGGAATGGTCTTGGGGCGTCGTGTAACAACTTCGCCTTTATAGCTTTCTCCTCCCATCCTCCTCCCCGTCTCCCGTTCGCCCCCCGCTGGCCCCTCGTCTACATCCGCATCCTCGACCCCACCCACCATCATCCTCATCCCTGGCACGCCCTTATCATCATCGCACCTCTAGTCTGTCCTGGACAATCTGCCACCGAATCAAAGCAGACCAGAGTCTGCGTGAGAACTAATCACCCCGTCCGCATCCTCAACTCCGTCCACATCCTCATCCCCCTTTATGGTCTGAAACGACGGACCACTGGGACGAATATTTCGTCACTGACGTAACTTCCGCAAATGGCAAACTTTGTGCAAATGCCTCCCCAGGACTGGCCCAAGGTGGGCCGAATGCGCACGATAGACGGCCTGAGGGCCCTACACTAACCACTCTCTCAGTGACCCCCCAACGGACGGCAGCAAGACGCCCAAAATGGCTCCGAGCTCCCTGGCAGACACCCACTAGACCCTCTAAGCCTCCGAAGAGCTCTCCAACAAACTATGGGAGACCAGGTAGCTCTCGGTAACACGGACACTGAGCCGCACCAAGATGATGGTGAACTCCAGCATGCTCTGTATACATTGTCCACGTGGGCTACAATCTCCTTGCTCTCGTCCCCCCCTTCCCCAGAGCCCTCCCCCTGCTCCTCCACCCAACCTCTGCTCGTGTCTACCATCCCCTTCCGCCCTCCTCATCATCCTGCCCCTTTTCTTCTTTCCTCTACGTCGTCGTCGTCGTCGTCGTCCTCCTCCTGCCCCCTTCTCTCCGCGCGCTCCTCGTTCCCTTGCTCTCTCTAAGCTTGTTTCTCATGGAAGTGACATGTTGAGATTCAGCCTTGTGCGAAGACTGCTGGCAAACGAACCGCTTGGCTCGCCTCCGATCGCCTGCGGAAAAGCCCCCTTCCACCACAGACAGTCACAGGGCCTGCAGAGTGGCGCGCACACTATTCTGTGATATGTACCTAGCTGTAGCGAAAGGTGCCTCGAAAGGTCCGGACGATGGTCCTCAAGGCGCGTGTTCATCGGTCAAACACCGCATTGCGAATTGCATGGAAGACGGGCGTCTCTGACAGCCTCATCGCCTGGACGGCCAGGGGGTCACGCATGCGCACTTCGCATGCCCGGTGCAGAGCTGCCCTGACCACGCGGAGTCGGGTAGAAGTTGAACCAAAGGAGAACTGTCTGCGGAATTGACTGATATGATAGATGCCTCCCAAATGGTGTCGGAGTAGATGGGGTCGGAAGATCGCGCCGCACCGCCAATGCATCGCCGACGCATCGGCGATGCATCGGGGGTGCACTGGCGACGCATCGTCGACGTCGGCGATGCATCGGCGACGTCGACGTGAAGCAAATCGGGCTCCACATTGAGCCGCATCGGAGATGCATCGGCGATGCGGCGCGATCCTCCGACCCCATCTACTCCGACCCCATCTAGGAGGCCTAGAGATGAGAGAGGTACGTGGGTCGGCTCGCAAGGATAGAATATTCAAAAATACCCCCAGCGTCGAAAAGTATAACCACTGGGCTTTCGCCGAGGACTGGCAGACTCGCTCGAGCCTGACTGGTTCAAAAACCTTGCGAACGCGAATTGGCTGACCAACACCTCGCGCAATGCTGAATGTTATATTGTAGCCATGCCGAGCTCAGCAAAATTTAGGCGTGTGCGCCTCAGACAAAGCTGGTCGAATTGCAAGTCTGTGCGGAAACGACAGCCGGGCGGAGGCTGAAGTCTCGGTCCAAGATTACACTGTACACGTGCACGCACTCCGCGGATTCCCAACCTGTCCTGATCATTCCTGGCCCGCCTCCTTCACTTCATGCTGACGCTTGGCGTCCCTCGAGCCAACAGCACCGCCCCCGCGGGCTCGAAAATGCCCTGTCAGGGAGGGGGGGGGGTCGAGTGGAGCAGGTGCGCCGACGATGGGGTGTCCGAGGTACTCGTGTAACGAAGATGAAGAAAAATACTGATCAAAAGAAAGCTAAGATAAATAATTCTACCAATAAGAACAATACTAATAATAATAATAAGACGAAGAAGAAGACATAAAGAATGGGCAGCGCAACGGGGGGGATTTCGTTGCCCTGCCATGATCTCCTCACCCCCAGTAGTCCTCACCCCACTCTTGGGCGCCACCGAATGGAGGGGAGTCCCTCCCAAAGTTTCCCTGGTGCAGCCGCGTTGGCTGGCCGCCGCCGCCCCTCAGCGCGCCAACGCCGCGAAGAATAGGACCTGCCGGGTCGGGCAAACGAGTCCCCCTCCATATTGTGCTGATGAGTACTCATGTCTAGAAATTTGATGTTGATCTACAGAAGATGGATAGAACGCTCTCGCTCTCGCTCGAGCGTGGACAGCATTTTCTTGGAACACTAGGCTCACGTTCGAGCGAGGCCTTCATTCAAAATATTGGTCTTTGGCACCAGGACTGGAACAACAACGACAACAACAACAACAACAACAACAACAACAACAACAACAACAACAATTACTAGCACGTGGGGACACTCCGTTCTCACCAGTGCCAGGGTTTTCATAGGAGGCGGGCAATACCCCCACTTTGTGGGGGGGCCGGTTCAAGCTCTACCAAATTTCCAAACGACTCTTCGCCACCACCCACACCCAGCTTCCCGCCCTATGACGTTCGGACACTTCACTTCGTGGCATGCGGACGACCGTGGCTACTATTCAGGGCCCCGCGGCCGACGACGACGGCGTGCGCGCGCGAAGAAAAAACGAATGTGTCCCGCATGGTATTATTTGACAGGGATGATGGCCCTGGCAGGTGCGCAACCGTTGTTGCAGAAGTTCGAAAAAGTTGCTCGCAAAAGCCCGTTTGACAGAAATGTTTAAAAAGTGTTGGGTTTCCTACGAATCCGCAAGAGCGCGCGGGATGAGATTTTGACAATTTTTTGTTGAAAAACCATTGGTTTTTTGATGTTTTTATGTTAAAATCGCTGCGAACACTAAGGTTTTGGAAGGATTTCGTCTTGCGCGCGCGAATGTCCACTTTACCTTATTTTTTGCAAGGGATTCTTGAAATTTGATTATATTAGAACAAGAAATGTCATTTTCTATTGTTTTTTGCAAGGGAAAGCGGATTACAACAAAACAACCGGATCCTGTACACACCCTCTTTTCTGAGGCTTCCTCACGAAAATGATGAAAATGTAGCTGCGGCCTAGGCGGCGCAGGGGGGGCGCGCACCAGGGGGCCCAACAATAATTATTCTTTAGAATAAATAATGTTCAACAACAACAACAACGACAACAACAACAACAACACAGCAACACACCAGCAGCAACAACAGCACCACCACCAACAACACGACAACACGACAACACGACAACACCAACATCATCATCATCATCATCATCATCATCATCATCATCATCATCATCATCATCATTAACCGCACCACCAACACCAACACCAACAACAAACACATCAACAACAACAACGACAACGACAACACCAACAACACTACCAACAACATAAGCAACACCACTGACGATAATCATTGTAATATTGTTCGCTCTTACCTGCTCGCATGTTATACACAACGTATATCCCAAACCCTCGGTACCCGCCCTATTCGTCTTCGATCGTAACCCCCTCAGGGGTATATCTTCCCAACCTGCCGCGTGTAGTTGGCGCAGTCCCTAAAACAGGGGAAGAGAGGACGGATGGAAGGGGGGGGAGAAGGATGGAGCACGAGAGAGATTAGCAGGAGGGGGCTAGGACAAACCGATTCGGGGAACACATGGTCCGATAGCTTGGCAGGTCTGGCCTCAACGTTCGGCCACATGGGCGCTTCCAAAAAGGCAGGGGGCGGCGGTGATTCGCCGTAGGCGTCTTCGATCCGCCGCCACCTGTTGGCTTGCCACAGGGGTGCCTGGCGTGCTGAATCCTTTCGGTTTTGGTTCTTTTAGAAAACTCTCTGGGGCTTCGGCCCGTCCTGCCGGCCACCCGAAAGGTCCGGAAACCACTGCAAACCACCCCAACGTCCAAAAAACAAATCCAAGACGCTTCAAGATGGCCTCTAAGATGGTCAGGTTGGCCCACGATGGCATCCAAGATGGTCCACTATGCCTTCAATTTCGTCCAAGAAGCCTCCAAGACGGCCCAAGACGACTTTAAGATGGCCTAAGACTGCCCGAGAGGTCCCCAAGAGGCCTCCAAGAGCTCCTCCAGGAAGGTTCGACAGGGTCAAAATCAGATTATCGCATTTTCTATTTTTCAGCTCTCCGATAGCCAAAGACGGCCCAAGAGGTCCCCAACATCGCCCCAAGAGGCCTCCAAGATGGCCCCATGACAGCCCAAGAGGTCCCCAAGACGGCCCCCTCCAAGACGGCTAAGATGGCTTCCAACATGCCTCCAAGACGGCGAAGATGGCGTCTAAGACGGCTAAGATGGCCCGAAGATGCACCCAAGACGGCCAAGATGGCCTCAAGACGGCCCCAAAGGCCCGTCTGACGCCTCCAAGACGGCCCAAGAGCCCTCCGAAACGTTATCCAGGAAGGCCCGAAAGGGTCAAAATCTTTGTTATTCCTTGATTGGTCGAGAAGTTCTCGCATTTTCTTCTTTTCAGCTCTCCGACGGCCCAAGACAGCCCAAGAGGCCCCCAACATCGCCCCAAGAGCGCCCAAGAGGCCTCCAATTTTGTCCCACAACAGCCCAATAGGTCCCCAAGAGGGCCCCAAGAAGGCCCCAAGACGACCCAAGAGGCCCCCAAGACGCCCAAGATGGCCTCCGAGACAGTCAATATGGCCGCCTAGATGCCTGCAAGGCGGCCAAGATCGCGTCCAAGACTGCTAAGATGGCCCAACTATGCACCCAAAAACGGCCCAAGGTGGCCTCAAAATGGACTAATAATGCCCAAAAGGCCCGCAAGAGGCCTCCAAGATGGCCCAAGAGCCCTCCAAGACGTCCTCCAGGAAGCCCGAAAGCTCGGAAACCACCTGGTCCGATAGCTCGCCCGACTCGGTATTCCCCGAAGGCTTTCGAAACCCACTCGGGGGACGCGTGGCCCGATAGCTTGGCCAAGCTTAAACCCAACTTTCGGCCACGCAGGCGCTTACAGAAAGGCAAGGGGCGGCGGTGATTCGCCGTAGGCATCTCCGCCAACGCTAACGTTTCAATATGCGCTGATGACTCCTATCCGCCCCCGCAGACTGTTCCCAGATTCGCCAAGGCAGCGCCGAGATGCACCGACGCGACTCTGTTGTCTTCCATTCTGATAGAGGAGGGGGCAGCCGGCAGGGGGCGAAACCCTTACGGATAACAACAACACCAACAACAACGGCTCCCGCCGAAGACTTCTTTTCAACTTATTCAGGAGCCCTGGTCCCGTCAGAGACGTCCTTGCAATTCCCCCATGAATCGCGCTCTCGCATGTTAGAACACTTGACGACCCGGCTACAACAACTACCATGTTACGACCATTTGACCGAAAAAACCCGTTTGCCTTTCATGCGATTCTCCCTCTCCCTCGCCGCACCCGGACCAATGGTTATTCAACGCAGAGATCGCACACTATGTGCATCTCAATTGCTGGTGCTTCCGTCTGTGAGTGTCCGAGTGAGTCTTAGCCTGTGGCGACTGAGCGATCCCTTGCGGCTACCCCTTAGACTGCACAAGTGCTACGACTGCTGTATCGGGAAGCGCGTTGGGCTCTGACAGGCGAGGGGTCGGGGGTACCTAAACCAGTGGTCCGTCGGACTCGCTCGAGACATCCTCACGACCTGCTCTAAGAACAAAGGAGTCCCAGCCAGGAAACGAGCGCCTCGCTCGAGACATCCCAGCAATCTGGCAGCGAACGGGCCCGCGACCGACCCCCTGGCAACTCCCCCATGTGGATGTTGAAATCATTGCCTCGCTCGAGACATGCTTACAATCTGTTCTGAAAGCAAAGACAAAAGTCCAAGCCACCAAATGGGTCAACCGCCTAAGACATCCCCACAATCTGGGCGCGAACGGGCCAATGAAATACCCTCTGGCGCCCCCCCCTTGGGGCGCTGAAGCCAGCGCCTCGCTCGAGACATCCCAAAATTCGGTCCCGAAAGCAGAGAAGGCCAAGCCACCCAACAGGCAAGCCACCTAAGGCATCCCAGCAATCTGGGCCCGAACGGGCCGGTGCAATAACACTTGGCGGCTGCCACCTGGGGGCTGGAAACCAGCGCCTCGCTCCAGACACGCTCGTAATCTTTTCTGAGGCACCGACGCCCGAATCACCACATAAGCACACCGCCTGAGACATCCCCACAGTCTAGGCGCGAACGGGCCCGTGCAATGCCCCCTGGCGGCGCCCCTTGGGGTGCTGAGGCCAGCGCCTCGCTCCAGACATCCTCACAATCTGGTCTGAAAGCGCCGACGCCCAAGCCGCCACCCAACAGGCAACCCGCCTGAGACACCCTCACAGTCTGGGCGCAGGAGGGCCCGTGCAATACCCTCCGGCGGCTCCCCCTCAGGGTGCTGAAACCAGCGCCTTGCTCGAGACATACTCACATGTTGAATGTGGGGCGAGCCTGGGTGTGAGCGCTCTGTGTGAGCGAGTCTGAGTCTGAGTGTGTCTTAGTATGACTGCATCCGAGTATGAGTGAGCCCGAGTGTTGAGCCCGAGTGTGAGCGAGTCTGAATGTAAGTCTGAATTTGAGTGAGTCAGAATACAAATGAGGACGAAGGAGGAGGCAAGAGGAGGAGAGAAGAAAACGTCATACGAACAACAAGAACCCCCCACAAAAAGGATTCCAGATGGGGAACAACAAGAAGTAACAGAGCGAGGCCCCCCCTCCGTGAAATGGGGCGCTAGCTGCCCGGTCTACACTGGCCCCTCCTTCTCTTCGACATGCTGTCGGGTCGATCTGGCCCGTAGCGTCAGGAACGCGGCCTTCCACCTGCAGCAAGAATGCGCCATGCAAAATCAGCACACCGGCCCTGACCAATTCCCAGGCACGGCATGCGGCACACCGAGGAGACAATGGGCCGAGAACGCCAGGACAACAAACGTTGGCGTGCTTGAGCCGTCGCATCTTGATGGCAGCGATCCGAGAAAAACTGTTCTGAGCGCGGCGCTCGATAGAATCAGGGTCCAGCCCTGGCACTGCAGCAGCGTGCGTCGGCGAGAAACAATACAGTTGGGAGCAGCAACAATTCAAGAGTATGCTGAAGCGCCCTCCTCCTCTCCCCTCGGACGCTCATAAGGACGCCCTGGATTCTGCTGTTCCCATCGTACTTACGGACCACATCCCAGAAATAATTTCGAGCAAACAGAAAAGTATCGAAACAATGTCGAACGAGTATCGCCTGGGCCGAACACGCGAAAATCCTCCAGTTTCAGTACGTTGTTGGTGCTCGAAATACGTTCTCGTGGTCAATGCTAAAACAAGTTGGAACATCATGAGCCCTGGAATCTCCCTGGGCCCCTGGGGGGTCCCACAGGGCCGTCAGAAGATCTCTGGCCCTCGCTCAAAGTCGAGTGTCGCTAGCAGTGCCCCTGGCCCACGGTGCCCCCGGGACTCTCGGGGGGGGCCCAGACGGTCGCCAGAGCACCGCTCACGAGGCCCCGAGGGCCCAATTGGGGCTCCCAAATGCAGCGAAAAGCCAGGGGCATTTTTTGGGGCCAGGGGGCGTTCCTGGCTGGCAACACCCGACAGAGACCTCCCCCCCCCCACGCATCCGATGCCCTGCTTGTGTCTCCGCTCGGGGTCCCCGCACGGCGGCGCCGGGCGTGCCTCCGCCGCCGCGCGGGCCCCCAGAACGAGCCCGCCCTCGGGCCGCGGGTGCCCCCCCCGCCGCTTGCATCCCCCGGCTGTCTCTCGATGGCCCTCGGGGGCCCAGGCAGCGAGCGCCTGGGCGCCGAGCTTGGAAGGCCAAGGTCGCGGGCATGGGGCAGATCACGTCGGAGGTCTGGGTGCACGTCGTTCGGCGGGCAGCGGAGGACTCGGACGTCTGAGCGCACGAGGCAGTGCGCAACGTATGTTCGTCCGCCATCGGGGGCGCCTGTTCCAGGGCAGCTGGAAAGCATGTGCCCCGACGCCCTGGGACAGGTGTCCCCGATGGTGGGCACATGTACATTGCAGTCGGACCCAGGACAGAAGAGAACATTGGCGTACCCTCCCTGAGCCGACCTCGATCTTATACCTCGGTCCGACCGTACGCAATTTTCGTCTGCTAAACGTAATGAGCGAAAGGCTGCTTTGCCATGGGGCCAGCGCCCCCTCCCTTGGCCTGCAGCGCCAGCACGACTGGCATCGCGATCAGAGGGACGACGCCCCTCATCAAGATGCTGGAGTCTACTCCTTCAGAGGGGGCGGACGAAAGAGAAGGAGGCGGGCGAGGGATGATGATGAGGAGGAGGAGGAGGATGATGAGGAGGAGGAGGCTTTAGGCAAGGGCGCCTAACTTCGCGCTTCGCGCTGCGCGAAGCGCGAATCATTTCGCGCTCTCGCGCCGCCCCCTCGGGGAGAAGAGGAGGATGAGAAGTAGGAACCGAATCACGAAGCGCGAATAACTTCGTGCCCTCGAGGGCGACCTTGCTTTGGGGGGTGATTGAAGGCTCGAGGATGTTCCTAACGAGGGGGGGAGATGATGGGATAATGAGGAGTAGAGGGGGGGAAACAGGTGGAGGAGGGAGGATGAGAGGGAGGAGCGGGGAGCCATTCGGGCAAGATCTCGCGGAGTCCTGGTGCGCACCCGACGATGACAGAGGAGAAGCGGCAAGAAGGGGAGGGAAGCGGAGGAGAGGAAACGGAGAGGATGGAGAGGAGGGGAGAACGGAGAGGGATGGAGAGGAAGGTCGAGGCGGGTAATGGGGGAATGCAGAGGGGGAGGACGACGAGGTATTGGATGATGAAGACGGGGGACATGATGTCAGAGAACAGGGGAAAACAAGAGAAGGGGGATGAGGAGGATCAGGAGGGAGCAGAAGGAGGGAAACTATGAGGAGGACGACGAGGGGCGAGGACGAAGATGGATGAAAATGGAGGTGGGGGAGGAGGAGTATGAGGAGAAAGCAGAGGATGTGGAACGCGACGACGGGTCAGCACGATGAAGAGCAAAATGGCAGTGGAGAAGCAAGGAGGAGCAGCAGAGGAGGGGCGCAGGGGCGGATCGTCTGTCCGATGGCTGGCAGACGCTCCACGGCCGCCGCGAGGCCTCCGCTGCACGCCGCCTGCAGCTCCGCGTCCGTGCAAACCATGGCCGCGAGCACCTCGTTGAGGGACACGGCCAAGAAACTTCCACAAAGAGCGCTGCGTACGGATCGAAACTCGTTTGGGCCCCGGAATGCCCGGGTGCACGGGTGGGCGCTGGAAGAACAGCCGTGCAACGCCCCGGGGAAGAGCGAACTGATTCTGCACCCGAACCGTTCCTCGTTTCAGCGTCTTGGCCTTAAGAATGTAGTATCATTCGACATTTGACCCCTGAGGGAAAGACGACCCGATTCAAGGAAACCGATCGCCCGTGACGGTGGGATAACTGAGCCTCCCTCGGGAGGAACGCTTACTCGCCGCGGACATCCCCATCTGTGCATTTAGATCTCCTGGCACGTCTTGAGGAGCGCGTGTCTGTGAGTGCCGTATCTGGGCGCGAGAGCGAATCCGAATGAACGACGGGTGCGGCGACGACGGCGACAACCACGACATCAGTGATGGACAGCGAAGAAAACGAATACAACTCACATGCAGGCTGTGACCAGGCTTTGCGCTGCGACTTGGATACAGGAAGGAAGCGCCCACCATGCAGCAAGGACGGTGGCGAGGAGGAAACACTAATGCGGACATAAGTTAGGAATGTGGACGCATGAACGGGGTGGAAAAGCACGGAATAGCGAATTTGCTGCGATCCGCAGAGGCGCGGCGCGAACTGAGAGCCAGCGCGCACTCGGCGTATGGGTGGTGCGTGCGCTGGCTGCTGGCGCAGCCCACGGCCGCACTCGGCCTCAGACCGATCGGTCCGGCGACCGTCCGCAGTTTACATCGGGCCGAGGCCAGAGGAAGCGTCGCGCCCTCCTCCTCCTCCTCCTCCTCCTCCTCCTCCTCCTCCTCCTCCTCCTCCTCCTCCTCCTCCGTGCGTCCCACTGGGTACGCGCCGGGGCACCGCCCAGAAGAATGACGCGTTCTCCTGGGCCTCTTCTGTGCGTCCCGGTGGATACGCGCAGCCCGGAGGACATTGCATGACCAAGAGGAAGCGTCACGTCCTCCTCCTCGTCCTCCTCCTCCTTCTCGTCCTCCCCCGTTCGTCCCAATGGATACGCGTCGTAGCTCCATCCAAAAGAATCACGCGCCATTCTCGTCCTTCTGCTCGTCCTCCTCTGTGGGTCCTAGGGCATACCGCTTGCGCGCAATAGCACGACCCGAGGAATCACCCGTCCTGTCCAGCTCATCCTCCTCCTGTTCGTCCTCCTTCATGCGTCCCAGTGGGTACGTGCAGTCCGGAGGACATTGCACGACCCAGGGGAAGCGTCACATCCTCCTCCTCCTCCTGCTCTTATTCCCGGCGGCCTTCCTTCGGAGTGCTGAGGCCAACGCTTCGCCCGAGGCATCCCTTGCAGTCTGCTCCGACTGCAAAAAGGAGCTCGGGGGGCCGAAGCAGGTAGACCGCCCGAGACACACCCACAGCAGGGCCGCGAACGAGGAGGACAGCGAGGAGGACGGCGACAGCGACGGCGACGGCGACGACTGCGAGGACGACTACCACGACGACGAGGACGAAGAACGAGGAGGACAACGAGGAGGACGGCGACGGCGACGGCGACGGCGACGGCGACGACGAGGACGACTACTACGACGAGGACGAATAAGCCTTCCTCCCCACCCCTGGCGGCTCCCGCCTTGGGGTGCTGAAAACAGCGCCTCGCTCGACATCCACACAGTCTGCTCTGAAAGCAAACAAGTCCAAGCCACCAGACAAGCCCCCCCTGGCGGCTCCCCCCTCAGGGTGCTGAAATCGATGCCTCGTCTCATGATGTTCCAACCTACTTTAGCCTTGATCACCGGAAAGAATTTCGAGCACCAAAGAAGCACCGAAACTCGAAGGTTTTCACGTGTCGGGCCCTGGGAGACACTCGTCCGACACTGTTTCGACACTGTTCCGGGTGCTCGAAATTATTTCTGGGATGTGGTCCTTGAGTACGATGGGAGCAACATAAGCCTCGCCCCAAACATCCTCACGATCTGCTCCGACAGTAAAGGAATCGAGGGCGCCGAAACCAACAAACAGCCTGAGGCATCCCCACAATCTAGGCGTGACCGGGACCGTGCGTTTTCCCCCATGGGGTGCTGAAACCAGCGCCTCGCTCGAGACATCCTCACAATCTGCTCTCAAAACACATCAGTCGGGGGCGCCGGAATACGCAACCCGCCCGAGACATCCCCACAACCTGGACGCGAATAGTCCCGTGCAATGCCTCCTGGCGGCCCCCACTCAGGGTGCTGAAGCCAGCGCCTCGCTTGAGACATCCTCATCAACAACTACGAAAACAAATATGTCGGGGCGCCAGAACACGCAAACCGCCTGAAATATCCCTACGATCTTGTCGCGAACGGTCCCGTGCAATATTTTCTGGCGGCCCCATTGGGGTGTTGGATAATGAATCTAAGCGTGAGAAAATTTGAGTGGGAGCGAGTCTGAGTGCGAGTGAGTCTGAGTGCGAGTGCGTCTGAATGTGAGTGAATCGGAATGGGGAGACAGGGAGGGGGAGGAGGGGCAGGAAGGAGGTGAGCGAGTGAGGCGGAGGCGTCGGAGTAATAAGAAGAGCCACACCTTAGGATGTGGGGGATAGAGACGCGATGCCATCAACTCTATCTCGGTGGGGCGATGCACTCCCCTTCCCTCGAGTCTTCCTTGTCAGCTCACGGCCTTGGCCACCCGAGGCCTTCGGCGAGGGGGCTCCTGCTCTTGACGCAAAGACTCGAGGCCATGCCTCGACAGCATTTTCAGGCATCACGTGTAGCACAGGTCATGCACAAACAATTGCACACAAGAGTCGCAACGTCTGCGTGGGCTGCCCTTAGCTTTCCTGGACCTCTGTTTGGAGGGGGGTCAACAAACAATCCGGCTTCTTCTGGCCATGGCGGGCCTCGGCCACTGCTGAATCTGAGAGGGCGGCCCGGAAACCCCAGCCTTCAACGGTACCCTCATCGTCTTCGCTGTTTTTCGGGGGGAGAGGTCCCGCGGCCCGAAGAAAATGCCCCCCCAAACCACGAGGCAGAAACAGCGGGGACAACACCCGCTGTCCCCTCCTTCCCCCTCACGCCCCAGGCGGTCTGGACAGGCTATCAACATCAAGGTGACCACGACAGGTCATCAACATCACGATGACGCAGGCGTGGGTTTCTGGCACCGCGTGCATCTCCCAACCTTCACCTGGAGCGGTCGTGCTTCTCCGATCGGCACCGACCGCTTGGTGTCGGCCGATTCTGGGCGCCACTCGCAATGTTCAGCCTCTTGAACGCCCGCGCCGGGGTCGTCGCCGCGTTAGCACTGCGCGGAGAACAGGCCGCACCCATCTCGGCACTGCCGATGAGGGAAACGACAACAGGCCTTTATCGCCGATAGATCGGCGACAGGCCATCGATAGCGAAACCGCGCGTTGCTGGGCGGGAACAGGGGACCCGGGCCCCGATTGGCGATGAGTGGGCGATTGGGGGTCGATGCGCTCCCCCCGAGCCCATTCACCCCTGGCGATGCACGGGCGATCGGGGTCGATGCTTCCCCTCCCTGGTGCCAGTCCCCACCTGTCGCTGCCCCTGAGCCGCAGGCCCGCGCGGGGGGATCCGGGTCGGGTGCGGCGGGTACGCCCCTGGAGTTCGTCGCCGTCCGCGCCGTCGCCGCCGCCGCCGCCGCCGCCGTCGTCGTGGTCGTCGTCGTCGTCGTCGTGGTCGTCGTCGTGGTCGTCGTCGTGGTCGTCGTCGTCGTCGTCGTCGTCGTCGTCGTCGTCGTCGTGGTCGTCGCGGTCGTCGTCGTCGTCGTCGTCGTCCTCCTCCTCCTCCTCCTCCTCCTCCTCGTCGTCGTCGCCGCGGTCCGCGCGGGGGGGCACCGCCAGCACTGCCACGACGCACCTGCGGTCGGCCGAGCTCCCCGGGCCTCGGGGTGCAGACAGGAGAGGGTGGCCCTGGCCCGGGGTGTCCCCGGCTCAGAGAGCATGAGCAGCACCAGCGCCACGCCCGTCGGGCGCCCCCGTCTCCTCGTTACTGTGGCAGAGGTGCGAGGCTTTCGCACACCAACCGGTCGAGCAAAATGCTGAATTTGGAAGACGGCGCGTGTATCGTTGATTCGTTTTGAATCCCTCCTGGCCAACGTTGTCAGAAATAAACGTTCCGGGAGGTGGTGGTGTGATCGAGGGCGGCTGAGCCAGATTTGGGGGGCATTCAGCCAGGACAAGGTCAGATTAAGCCCCACATGAATACGGATCAGTCATGATCAGCACTAGGGAAGCACCAAAACTTGCGTTCTCACGCAGTGGCCTTGTTACAGTAGGTACGTGTCGTGACGACTTGAGCTTTGGTTTCTGACACCGCGTGCATCGTTCAAACTTGAGTGTTCGCGGCTCTCCGACATCGCCGGTCCCTCGACATCGGCGGCTTCTGGGCCACTGGCGGTATTCGATCTTGAGCGCCCGCGCTGGGGTCGCTGCCGCACCGACACCACACGAGCCTGCCAAAGACGAAGCCACAAACGGGGGGCCGGGGACACCCCGGGCCAGAGGAGCGGCTGTCCACATCCCATCATCGCCGTGGCGCCCGTCCGGCTGCGGGTCGGCGGCGTCCACGGGCCGCTCCTCCACTACGTCGCTGAAGCTGACGTTCCTCCTGATCCGTGGGGACCTGGCGGGAGGCCGCCCTGCGGCAGGCTGGTACAGTCGGGGCGTTGACCTAAGGAACCCTAAATAAGGAACGAGGCGCCTTTTGTTTCCATGAGCTAAACTTCGATTTCGTGTCGAAAACCTGAGGAACATCTGAGGCAAGCTGCGAAACAATGAAGGAACACGGAGCCCCTCCCCAACGAAAAGGGTTCCTTCTTCAGGGCCCCGACTGTATCCCGACGACTCATCACGAAGGCTTCGGACACCGCGTGCGTCGCTCCACCTTTTGAATGATCGCGGCTCTCTGATAACACAGATCCCTGGGTATCCGTCGGTGCTGGGCCACTGGCGGTATTCAACCGTGAACGCCCGCGTCGGGGTCGCCGCCGCATCGACACGACACGGACCTACCGCTAGGGGCAGTGGGCGAAACGACAAGCAAGTAGACCCACCAGTGGCGGCATAAGGATCCAACTGGATTGTTTTTTTGTTGTTGGTGCATCCAGATGCCAGGCATCCGACAACGTTTTTTGTTTTGAAGCTCGTGGCCCCCAGACCTTCGGAGAATCCAAGGGGGGGGCGTCCAAGAGGGGTATCCGCAAATCATGGCCCAGCGCGGCCCAGGGGGGGGCAAGAGACTTCTTGAAAGGAAAGGGGACTGGGGAAATATCATGGCCACGGTCACGATCCCCCCCTAGTCATCGCATGTGTCTTCTAAGTCGAACGCAGAATCGAGAAAACATCGGATCGTTATACATGGGGAATATCTGAGAATCCTGTGTCGGGCGCCGCGGCCGTTTCAGAGCGTTCCGGCGAGCGTTCCGGAAAGCTCTGGAACGGATCTATCTCGATTCTAGGCATGGCCATGACTCACCCCCAAGTCATCACCCTCGTCTTGGCCACCCCCGAGACCTCTCGGTCCCTTCACCCGGGCCAGTTTTCCGCCAGGTTTGTTTTCTGGCCCCGTCGCCAGGAACGAGCTCCAAGAGGCCGACGTCGCAGAAAGACACACCACCGACAACGCACTGCCCTGCAAGTCTGACGGCAACATCTTGAACCACCTGTCAACACGAACGGAAGCCCCGAGGACTTGATGATACTACGTACCTACCTCTTCCAAAATGCTTCAATTACGCCTCGAAAGAACTTCAATATGATGATGCATGCACCGTGATCCAAAGAAAACCTCCTGGATCCAAATCGCCACAGTGCAACGCACGACCACATCATCGCGCAATGATCGAAGGCGTGCACTCGAGCTGTGCCAGCCCAATGTGTCAGGGCACGTACTGCAGAAACCCTCCTCCTCCTCCTCCTCCTCCTCCTCCTCCTCCTCCTGCTCCTCCTCTCCGTTCCGCTTCCCGCTACTCTGGAGGCGGGCGGCCCCAGGGGAACCACCTTTTGCCCACGTAGATCCACCACGATGAGCGCCGTCAGCCTCTTTCCTCCCTCCGTGAAGGGCCCCCAGCAGCGGCCGAAAATAGGCCGCGCGGCGAGGACAGTCTTGGCAGCGCTGACGCCCGAGAAGCCAGCCGACGACCTGCGCCTGCCGCCGGAGCCGCCTCCACGGTCAGCGAGGGCTCTCGGGGGCCAGCCCGGGCTGGCGCCAGGAGGTCAGAGATGGCGCGAGCGCACCGGGAGGAGGAGGCGGAGGAGGAGGAGGAGGAGGAGGAGGAGGAGGAGGAGGAGGAGGAGGAGGAAGAGGAGGAGGAGGAGGCGGAGGAGGAGGAGGCGGAGGAGGAGGAGGAGGCGGAGGAGGAGGAGGAGGAGGAGGAGGAGGAGGAGGAGGAGGAGGCGGAGGAGGAGGAGGAGGGAGGAGGAGGCGGAGGAGGGAGGAGGCGGAGGAGGCGGAGGAGGAGGAGGCGGAGGAGGAGGGCGGAGGAGGAGGAGGAGGAGGAGGAGGAGGAGGAGGAGGAGGGAGGAGGAGGAGGCTTGTCCCTCTTCGGCGGCGCGAAGATGCGCGAGGGGGCGGTCCTGGAAGAAGGCGGGGAAGCTTCTGAGACGGAAGAGGGCTCCTCAGCAGCCTCCACGGCCCACGGACGGCCTCGGCCTTCCCAGAAACCCCTTCCCTTCTCAGACAGTCATCCCCCTCGCGGCGCCGCCCCCCCCTCGTGCGAGG